ATTAAAAATCGACTAAACCCTAATTTCTTCATTTAACAATCTAGTCAGTAACGTAAATAATGCAATTTGCATTTAGCAATTTAAACATTTTCGACATTAACACGTCTGCTGAAAACTTCTAAAATAGGGTGAAACCTCATTGTTAAGTGCTTAAATATTAAAAGAAAAAGTTCGACGTCTATACTTTTTTCAGGCTAAGTTTGGTGTAATCATCATCTGATTCAAAATCAGTCCCATCAATTTATTATTATTTTGCTTCTATCCGTTCAAAGAAATTTAAGTACTTTATCAATGGATACGTCGTTTGTTTGAGACGGCTTGCGTCTATTAAATCTCATTGATTTCACATTTCTGCATGTATAATGTAACTACAAAAATATTTATGCGGGCGCTGTTCAGATTTAAACCAAACTCAGTGAAGTTTAGAAAAAAAGGTCGAGCTAAAGCGAAAGAGACATCGCTACAACTCTATCGTTAACGTGCACCTACCGGGATTCCTTAAAATACGTAATCATCATTTCTGAATCTTTGACATATCTAAGTTGCAATGTAGTCAGGCACTGGCATTGATCTCAGATATTACGACTTATACAAAGCTTCTTACTATCTAACATGACTAAACGGTTTTAAAGATCAAGTATATTACTAATATCTAATTCCTCTGTTTATTCCTCTTACTATTTGAGTGGGCTGTCTGTCAGTGCTTCTTAGAATCAACGTAGACATTAGAAACTTAAAATAATTATTTAGAAACTTAAAATAATTATTTAGAAACTTAAAATAATTATTTCATTAATAATAAAATTTCGATTTTTTCTAGTTTTTATTCTATACGAATAATAATATCCTTAAAATTACCATTACGTACGGGAATGGCAATCTTCGATGACTTTTTTCAACAATTACTCCTACTTTTTACACTTATTTACTCAAATAGTAAGGGTGTGAAGTGATAAAGTCTGGCAGTGTCAGTTTAGGTGAAAGTGAACATTATCTCGTGTTGTAAATAATTTTTGTTAAAAAATCGTTGATTTTTATAATGTTCTAGTTGATAAATTCACCGCGCTACAAATGGTCCAGCAGTTTAATTTATTCGCTTATTACTATTTTAAAGCAGATATAATCGGTCGGCAATAGATTGGGATTATTTTATTTTTTTCATTATTCAAAATTAAAGTAAATCTGATTTCAAATTTGAATTATATCAAGAATACATATTCATATGATAATTTCCAACTTTCCATCTAATCGTTTCGCCTGAGAATTCTAACAACCCTCAAATAGTTGAACGAACGGAAGTGACTAAATTAAGTCAACCGCTTTTATGGATAATTTCGGAACGTGTCCCTGATCCCTACACACAGGATGAAAAAAGTGTCACCTTCTACCATGTGTTACTTAGTATAATAATAAAAATAGTGCAATTTTCATCATAAAAAATAAGCCTAACATATTTATATAAATATGCGATGGTAAACACATTACAAAAATAAATCCTTTCTTCTTGTTAACATTTTTAGGCCCACGGCCGAAACATGAGGAGTGTATTCATTTTGTCAAAACGTTCGAAACGCCCAGAAGGAAACACAAATTCTGAATCGATTTAAGCATGTCCGTCGGGCTGTCTGTGTGTCTGTCCGTCTGTGCAACGGCTGCTTTAAACATAATCTTGCTCGCGAAAATGAAGCTATCGACTTTAAATTTAGCGAAAACATTCGAACTTCTTGTACGTAGGATGGTATGGATGGGTGGAAATGGATCAAAACGATCAAAGAGAACACCTCTGTTTTTCAAAACGAATAAAAAATTGGTCTTTTACCGATTACTCTTATACTATTGCAGATAAATGTGCAAGAATTTGAACGCATATTCTAGCAGTGATGCTGTAGCATCTGCAAAAAAGTGAAAAAAATGGGCTATCAAATATTATATCATAAGCTGCAGAAACAGGCTTCAAAACTCCGTAGTATGCACCTTAACATTTCCGTCTGTTCGTCTGTCCACCTGTCAGTCTGCGCAACTGTGTAGAATTTTTGGTAACCATTCTCCCGTTAACGAAAGTAAACATATTGCCTACAAATCTACAAAAGAATTTTAAGTTGACCCAAAATTTTGAAAGGACATGCCTACAACGCCCACATGTCTCTACGACAGAAACTTTTATTTTGAAAATAGGAAAAATCAGGCACGCTCACTCTATTTTATAGAATATATTATAGAATGAAAATTTAGTTCATTTACATTTTTGTCTTTTTTAGATGCGATGGGAGTAAAACATTCGGTCACGATTGAATATAATTTTTTACTTGTTTTCTTTTATTTTATTTAAAAAAAAAGGGAAAACTAGTAGGCAAAACCGTTTCTTGATTTATTTCAAGCTACAGGCGAATATCTTATGTTATCACTGACGTTTGACTTAATATGTATCAGCGATAAAAGTAAGTATTGCAGTTATCTCATTAAAAGAAAGGGATAATATATTATATGTCTGTGGCTTCATTTGTGGAAAAGATTGACCTTCAAAAGTATGTTAGAATAAAATTAAAGGGAAATTTGACGACATAAATCGACAGTACGGGTATCCGCATTGTTCACATTTTACTGCCAATCTCGTTCCACCACTACATACAATCAACATTGATAAAATCAGATCATTTGCAAGAATTCGCCTTGGACCTACTAGGGCAATACACTAATGGATCCTTAAGAAATATACTCCTCTTATTTTCAAGTGTTGGGAAAATTTTACGATTAAGCATATATTTTGTGAATGATAAAACTTGTCCAATATGCGAGGATTCATATTCAGAGTGTCCTACCCTATAGACATCATGGAAATAACTCGATATCAATAAAATATTTAGCTTTGAGCCGATAGCCTTAGGTGCGAATGCTCATCCTACTTTTAGTCCTTGAATTTCTTGCTGCGGTCAAAATAAATTATAATAATAATCACATATATTACATAGAAATATTCTACATGATTTAATAAACAATATCAGTAAATAGTCCAATTTTAAAATTCAGTTGAGTTTCAAATAACAGGTTTTTGTTAAAGATTAATAGATTTAAATCCATCCGATTAGCAGAAAGGCGAGATGAGTTTCTATGCTCATGCGCTCAAAATACAAAATTATTGCTGCAGAAAGTCCTAAGTAAAGATTTAATTTAAATGTCAACTCTTCCTAGAATATACGTTTAAAAAGGGAAATGTGTCATTCGCACATTCTTGGCAATAACATAAATATATTTTTTAATAAAATCAATTTTATCACCTGAGAAGAAAAATCTGCAGCATATTACAACGGAATATAATCTACTTCAGTAACAAATTTTTAGAATTGTTAAAAGAATTAAAGAGCGATTATCCTTATGCAGCAACTTCATTATCTCTCCGCAGCGGCAGGCGTATATTTTTATGCATGTCGAGATACATTAGAAAGAAACAAACACACAGTGTGCCTCTGAAAACATAAAAGGGTCTTTCTACCTATTTTCCAATTCCAATTGGTGTGTTTTATGATAAAAAAAATTTTAATGGGTTGTGTTGCAGTCTAAGTACAATTCAATAAATGGTCTCTTGACATTACCAAAGCACAGATCAGAGTGTTCCAAATTTTTCGATTTTTACTACGCCTGGGTAATCAATCGGTGAAGATGTTAGACATCGATATACTACATGCGCACTTTTCTTGAAAAAGCCATGAAAGGACACTTGTCAAAGACTAACTGAATCGATATTACATATTTAAAAATTGGTCTCCGATTTTACTTCCTCTACTTTACGACGTATAAATTACATTAATGTTTTTGTTTTGACAAATTCATATCAGAAACTGACTTATAATAACGAATTCAGTAAGTCTTTTTCCAAATTTCAGTTCGGTCGTTCAGTCAATTTCATAAGCAAATCTGCAAAATGACTGTTTACGATACTTAACAAACACTTAAATCTAAAACCGGGGACAAAGCTTAGTCACTTCACGTGAGTAGTGACCGTTGCAATCTCTTTTGTTTCGATTAAGTGCATATTTAGTGCCCCTCCCGCCCCCTACTATCGCATATTTTAGGAAAAGACTATAGCGGTTAACCATCGTCAGATGGTTGTCCAACTGTTCAGTAGTCTTTAGAAATGTTAGTTATAATGCCAGGAAATTTTTTGACTGCGACGTAATTGTCTTAACATAGACCAACTTCAGGCCAAGAAACCTTCGTTTTTTTAAGTTTTTGCTCATTTCTAAGAATGACAGACATTCAATGTCACTTTTCCGGAAGACCTTTACATGTTTAAATATTTGCAACGTTTGTTGCAAGTCAGCATCAAGTGTATTGTCGCCGACCTCAGCAGTAAGCACATTTCATTTGATCGAAATGCAGAAAAAGCCAGTAGATATTATTTAAAAAGAGGCGGACAATAATGATGAAAACAAAAATTAAAAAAATAAAAAAAGAGAGATGAAAACAGTACCAATTGTGTCTGTCAACTTGTCAGATCATAATTCAAGCTCTAAAACCATTTAATATATTTCATGTGTTTTTCAGTTTTCAGTTATTTTGGACGTACTTTTTTAATGTTATCTGCAAGCTGAAAAATGTTATATGGGATATGATCCATATATTCTTGTTAAGCTTTAAACATAGATGTTAAGAAGAGTTTCGAAATATTTTTAGTAAAAACAACGAAACTGAACAAATGTGAGGGAGGCGAAAAAACTAAGCATAAGCCAAATGCGATCACTTTCTTGCTTCCAAAAGAGTTAAGCAACAGGAAAATCAAAATCTATACAAAATCGATAAATATATTAAATTAAATGTTATCTTACATATACACATTAAGTAATAATAAAAAAACTATATCATGAATAATAATATAATTTTTTATTTTCTCTTTTTGCTTTCTAACACGGCATTTTGAACTTATTCTTACAACTTTCCGTACCGATGCTAATGATGCTGTAATGTACACCGATGGCAATGGTGCGTCATGCCTACATCCGTAGCTACAACTATCCCGTTCCAATAGCGCGGCAGCCATTAGTGAACGAACATTAGAAGAATGTTGGTCTACCCTGCAACGAGTGAGTTGGCATCTATTCCGTTGTGTATAGTACTCTTCCACGTTAAAGACACAAAACATCTAAACACATCAATGATTTAGTAAACACATTTCACATTCAAGAATACATCATATCGCTGAAAACAGTAAAAATTTAGAGTGAAAAGTTTCCATAGACTCATATTTATTAGCCCCTAATTTTTTAAACAAATACTGTCATTCTATTTACCTATCAACTTAACTACCTCTTTAGTTATCTAAAAAATTGTATTTGAAACAAATTTCTTTTTTTTTTTTTGTCACTAGAGCAGTGCATGTTTCTCTGTTAAAAATTTAAGAAATGTCCACTTGTTTACCTGTCCGCCTGTCCGTCTCCCACCTGTGCGTCGGCAAACACTGGTAGTGAATAAATGTCTCAATTCCACGTAATTTTATTGCGTTTAGTGTCTTTGACTTTAAATTTGATTTTCACGTTTGGAAGTGGATACCAAAATATGTAAAGAGATTACATATCTTTAGAAATAATTTGAAAATAATGCATTCTTTAATCAATGGCGCACATGTACATGCTAAAGGATTTTACATTTATAATCAATCGAAATTTAAAATTTTTGGTTTGGCGAGTAAAAGAAATAAGTACCTTCCAACTTGAATCAAATTTTAAATGCTATCTTAAAGAACGTATTAATAATACCCACGTTCAACAGTCAAATTTATTGCCAACCGGCTATTTTATGTTGAAACGTCTTTATGTATAATATTTATGTGTCAAACGTTGATTTTATATTATATCTATGTTATATTATAAGTTACATTTATTACATTGTGTTATATAATATACGGTACGTGTTGCTGTAATTTGGGGAATGAATCGTTATAAAAGACAATGATAGTCATAAGTCGTTTGCAGGTGTATGAAAATCTATGGAAAAGCTCCCACAGCCTTTTGTCGTAACATACATTTGAGATTGTCAGATTTTCACCATACAGGCAAAAATGCCAATATATCAGAATTTTCTGATCAGGGCAACTATGCATATGTCACGAATATTCCGATATATGTAAAAGTATTGTACATGTCGAAATGATGACCTGAAAACATTGCCTTCCGAAAGATGCAGTCATATGCAATCATTGTAACATGGTTTTCATCGAAGATGGCTTTTATGGCACCTATACAAAGTCTTGTATATAAAAATATGAAATTTGTTGTTAATTATTCTTTGACTTCATACATTTCCCTTTTATATATTTCTTCTCATACAGCTTCCAAAGATAAACATACCGCGATGATACTAGAAAAGTCCGATTTAATAAAGGGTACACACACATTTTCGAAAAAATATGTTAATTTCTTAACGTAGCCTTTTTTTTGAATGAGAACCGCTAAGCTTTTCCGAACAGTAGACTCCGCGTCTCTTTCTTCCTCCCCATTTTACCTAATTGCTGGTAAACATTTTTTTAAAAAAGTCTGCGAGTGGACTAAATGATAATAAATGTCATGATAAATCTACCTAAATCTACGTATAGTTCGAAGTTAAAATCCTTTGGTTTTTAGGTATCATCAATTTAAATCCGTGTTCAATGCGTTTATCAATAAAACGTTTCGTGTAAACATAACCCATTGTCATTTGCAACGATCCATTTAAACATATTTATATAAATCATTATTGTTGCATAACTTTTTCGTTTTGTGAAGCAAATTAAGAATTTTTTTTTTAATTGCTTGTTACATTTTTTATATTGAAATAAAATATTCATTGTCTCCATTGTTTATAAATTTTTATATAAGCGCAAAAAAAGTTCAAACCGCTTAGTCCTTTCTGAATTTGTTTCAATGATTTTGTTTTATTTTATAATTTTTTAAGTATCGCCATCATGTAGGTATGCCACAGAACACTCACTCTCAAAACTAAATCTTACCGGAATACTCACAGAAGTGACTACAGTAACTTTGTTAATAAATAGGATAAAAAAAGTATTGGGTTAGCTTCGCACCGGTGCATACCTTTGTGAAGATAATTTTGTAATTGTGTGCCATCGAAAAGAACGATTATAAAACTTGAACAAACATAGAGGCACATATCGGAAAGGAAATCATGTTTAAAAAAAATAAAAATTTATTATTGGCCATGTAGTAGCGGTGTGAGTACAGTTGATCCAAATTTGCTATCTATAAAAGGCATCCTAAAAAATTACAGATTTTTGGTATATTTTATAAGGGATGTGAACGGTTGGTGTTACATATGCATAATATTAATAGTAATAGGGCCCTGGGCTCTAAACAATTCCGTTTTTGTAACAGTATTTGATATTCTTCCAGATGCATTATATACAAAGAGTAGGTTTACTTTCATGACATTTTTCCTTAGGCATTTTCTACATACTCCTATTTTAACAACAATACGCACAGAGTAACGTGTACATGATAAACAGTGACAACAAATTTGTGTTTTGATTTTATGGACATGATACAAAATGTAGCTTTTTAATATGTGTAGTATTCCCAAATTTTATTTGATTTTTACAATTATTTTGCTACTTTTTCCTTGTTTAGCGATGTAATATAATTTAGCGAAGAGAAGATGCTATATTTTTTAGCAAAGAGACAAACATTTAAAAAATGCAGGTTAATTGGAATGGTCTCTTCATTTCGCTCGAAATTCGGATATGAATAACTTGCAATATTAGTATATGCTCTCAGGCAGTGTAAGGTTCTGAGTTCCTTTATTCATTTTTGTAAGACGGTGAATGTAATCTTAATTTATGGATATTTAAGCTTACTTCTTCTAATAGCACACGCAATTTCATCCGCACTCGCGGATATACAATAACGTTGGTTACTTTGCAGTAAAATCACTAAAATTTTACAGAACTATTAAGCAGAGTCAATTAAATCTCATGTGCAAATTGAGGCTGCGAATGATCCGCTGAAGTGAACGGAACATTATTTACGTAAGCAATTTCAGAGAAAGATAACTTGTAACAACACTTAACAGTGGAACCAATCTGTTAGCACACTATAATATGATACTTGAATCTAAACTATGCTTCTCTCCATTATTACGAGCATAAATGCAATTTTACAAATTTTTTGGTGAAATTTAAAGTTTATTATCAAAAATAACAACAAGTAAGAAAGTTATAATCGGCTCAAGTCGAACCTCACATGCCCACCATTAAAGTCGTTAGCACTCCATGCTTTTATTTATAATTATAAAAAAAGTGAATAAGATAAAATCTACTTTCCACCTTTTAGTTCGCTAAAATAAAAATTTGTGTAAATAAATTTGTTTGTAAAATTCATTTTAATACAGTTTTTAAGTCACAGTGAAGGGAACAGTGTACGGTGTGCAGATTTTTTAAGGCAGACGCGAAAAGAGAGGGCTGTATTATTATATCAACTGTATTTTATTTTTTAAGTAGACAGATGAGAGCTTGATTAATATATGACGAAAATTCTGTGAGTAAATTCTCTACAATAATATAAAAATTAAAATATTAAACCAATAGAAATAATTATTTTAGTCATATTTCTACTAAGGTAAACTGTAAACTCAAAATTAATCCAGAATGCTAAATGTACGGAGTCTTGCAAGTTACCAAAGTACGCGGGTCTACATTACCTATATTTAAAAATAACGAATACATTTAAGTCAAGTTGTTGATATATTTCTGCTTAAAATTGAAAAAGAATGATTATTATTTAATATACCTTCGATTGAAATATCCCCCCGTCTGCGACCAACAATATAATATTTTGAACTTCGTTATTATTCTGTAAAACGGTATTTAAAGTCCCAATCAAATTTTGCCTGAATGCGTAATTGGAAATGCGGTATATGAGTGTGTGAACAATAAATTTATGCTTGAATCCTATGCATCGCGGTGTTCTTTTTGAGGTAAATCATAATCCCCGCTTTATTTTACTGACGATCTAAAATTTCCGTATTTCGGTCAATATTGTCTAGTATAGTAACTTCCGGAGCACTCTAGATTATAATGTCCAAAAAATCGGGCTTTTCTAAGCGACCACCGTAATTAATTTAGAATTACATGTAGCACATTGTACTCTCCAAGTTCATTTAGTTTATATCCCAATCGAGGATATTGTTAGGAAAAAAATAATCCACCATGTCACGGTGTCCACCATATTTATTTTAGAATTAACGCATTTTTGGGCAGGTAAGATATTTCCATTTGAGAAATGTACAAAATAATTTTGAACGGGCTGTATTGTTTACGATTAGTAAGCAAAAAACCTCAAAGGAGTAAAAAAAAATTTAATTACTTATAACTTTGTGCATTTCTTCCACTTTTTGAACACAAATAGTAGAGTTCGCTTAAAGTAAATGTAGGATATTTCTGTCTTTCATAATTTGTGAGTAATGACCAAAAACAAAGAGTTTTTGGTTATAGAAACGTAGTTGCGCTCAGTTTATGGTTGACTGCGGGCGTGTGCTCTGATCAATTTGGCCCATTTTGTATATTAACCTGCGTGCAGAAACTTCTCCCGTTTCTACTAAGTTTGATGAAGATATGTTCGTTTCATAACACGCACGACGTAGACACGCAGGCATAGGCGGATAGACATGACTTAATTCGCTCAGAGTTTCACGCTGGTCAAGAATATATATTTTCTCTCT